TCATCCTCCTCCACCTAGGCGTAGGGCGTGCGTTTAAACGTGCACTTTATTTCGGCTTGGCCGAAGTGCAATTATGAAACCAAATGTATGCTCACACGAGCACTCTTCATGCAGATGCCGACCGCGTAGCGAAATTTTGAGCTAGCGGCATGCTAACAGTTGCGCCTCGGCGATCGAGAATACGACCGTCTCATATTGAATGCGCCATAGGTTGCGCCCTCGGCGGCCGAGGACACACCCGTTTCCGATCGGTTGTACCATTGATTGCGCCTTCAGCGGCCGAGACTACAACCGTCTCCTATTGGTCGTGCCATAGGTTGCGCCTTCGGCCGTCACGAACAACACCGTCTGCTAACGGTTGCTTCATAGGTTGTTCTGGGGGAGGAGGAGGAAGGTGAGACAGAGAAGGCGGCGCAGGCGGAGGAGGAGGAGGAGGGAGGAGGAGGGGGAAAAGGAGGAGCACGGGAGGAGGAAGAAGTTGCGTAGGAGGAGGCAAAGGAAGAAGGTGCGGAGGAGAAGGAGGAGGAAGAGGAGGAGGAGGATAAGGAGGATGAAGAGAGGGGGGAGGAGGAGGGGGAGGAAGACGAGGATGATGATGATGATGAGGAGGAGGAGGAGGAGGAAGGTGAGAAAGAGAAGGGGGGACCAGGTGGAGGAGGAGGAAGAGGAGGAGCACGGGAGGACGAAGCAGAAGAGGAAGAGGAGGAGGAGGAGGCGGAGGAGAAGGAGCAGGAAGAGAGGAGGCGGAGAAGGAGCAGGAGGAGGAGGAGGAGAAGGGGGAGGAAGAGGAACAACAGCAGCAATAGCAGCAGCATGGCCACCAAACCATGTAATTCACTGGTTGTTTTGTTTTTTCGGTCGGTGATACCACCAAACACTGTTATTCACAGGTTGTTTGGTTTTTTGTTTTCAGAGATTCCGAAAACTGCCTCGCTAGGAAAGGATACCGGACCTCTTGATGTCAGAAAAAAAAAATACGAATAGCACTGTCTGTTGGCATCGTCGACAAAAAAACCCAACAACTTGTGAACAGCATGGTTTCGCATCCACAAGGCCACCAAACATTGTGATTCACATGTTTGGTTGGTTTTCGTTGGAACCCAAAAATCTTATTTAAAACAGCAACAACAACAAGTACCTGAGAATAGCATGGCTTCGTGGATACAACGCCACCGTGCACTACTATTCAGAGGTTTTTGCTTTTTATTCGGCGTCCGCAAGACTCCTGGCAGAGTTTGCAGATACTCTGGAAAAAACATGTGAATAGCAGCGTTTGGTGGCATCACCGACCGGAAAACAAACAAAATGTCAATAGCATGGTTTGGTGGTAGCCCTCCTCCCACAAGTTGTTCGGGCGGAGGAGGAGGAGGAGGAAAAGGCTGCTGCAGAGGAGGAGGGGGAAAGACAACAGAGGAGGAAGATAAGCAGGAGGAGGAGGAAGAGGAGGAACGGAGAGAAAGCGAGAAAAAGAGTGAGCGCAGGGATAGGGCCACATGGGGTGATAGGGGGGGGCTGGCCATATATATATATATATATATATATATATATATATATACACAGGGCCGGGGACCCCGGAAAAGCGGCACACGGTGCCCCCCCCCAAACGAATTTCGGCCTCCCCGAGCCTTTGGGGCGCTCCTGCAGAGTGTTCCGCGTCTGTCCTGCGAGTGCGACGCGAAAAAAAAAACCCACGACGGCCAAAGAGGGCCCCGAGACACCCAAAGATCGGCCCAAGACGCCCAAGACGCGTCCAAGACGCCCCCAGAGACCCCCAAGAGGCTTCCCAAGAGAGCCCCGAGAGGCTACAATTGTTGATTTTCCTGTGTGTGTGTGTTTTCTATGTTTTTGGCCTTCCCGCTTTTCCCGCTGCCCGATGCTCCACAATGGCCCAAGGGGCTCCCTATATCGCCCCAGTGCTGCCCAAGAGGCCCCCAAGAAGGCCCCAACACGGTCCAGGAGGGTTCCGAGACCGCCCAAGGAGCGCCCAAGACGGCCCAAGAGAGCACCAAGACGGCCCCAAGAGAGACCCAAGAGGGCGCCAAAAAATTCAAAAACCAAATTTTCCGCCGCGAGAGGGCCCCAAGAGGCCCGGAGAGAGCCCCACGAGGCCCCAAGAGGCTCCCAAGAGGCCCCAAGGAACCCCCAAGAGGCACCCAAGAGGCCCCAAAAAGATCCCCATAACCCCAAAACACCCCCAAGAGGCTTCAAAACTGCCTCCCAGAGGGCCCCGAGAGGCGCACCACGAGATCCCAACACAGCGGTCTCCCCCTCTCATTATCCCTTCTCTTTGTCGTCGCCTTCTTCGTCGTCGTCATTGTCGTGTCAAATGGCGCAGCGAGGCCATTTTTCGTTCAAACCACCGAAGAATAGAGCTCCTCCTCATCTTCCTCATTCTGTTCCTCCTCTACCTCCTCCTCCTCCTCCTTCTCCTAGGCCCCCGTGATGTTTCACGTTCCGCCCCGCCAAAGGTCTAGCAGAAGCAGCTCTCCTCACTCTCCCAAGTCTCTGCTGCGGATTTCTTCCGCGACACCTCGGCTGCGCCCCAGATATCCACATAATCTGTCCTCTTCATCCTCCTCCTCTTCATCCTCCTCTTCCTCCTCCTCCTTCTCCTCATCCTCTTCAAGTTCCTCCTCCCGCCTCGACTGAGCTTCTCGCAACACGGGGATTGAGAACCTGGGCGCGGCGCCCTTGCCTATCTTACCGGAGAGGGCCGGCCGAATCTGAGGGCCCCTGGGGGATTTCAAAACCTGCGCCGCTTCTTGCACCGCCTTCGGGCCCCCTTGGCGGCTCAGGAAAAAGCCGCTCCTAATTCGGGAGGGGGGGGGGGGGGGGGGGGGGGGGGGGGGGGGGGGGGGGGGGGGCCCTTTGCCGCTTGACTCGCAGAGAGGCCGAGCGGCGCCGCGCCGCGCCGCCAGGGACGGGGAGAATGGGCAAAAAAAAGAAGCGGAGAGGGGGGAGAGGAAGAGGAGGAGGGACAGGAGGAGGAGGGGGAGGAGGAAGAAAGGAAAGGAAAGGAAAGGAAAGGAAAGGAAAGGAAAGGAAAGGAAAGGCAAGGAAAGGAAAGGAAAGGAAAGGAAAAGAAAGGAAAAGAAAGGGGGAAGGAGGAAGAGGAGATGACGGAAAGTAGTCTAATCCGCTTCGCCAGATATATGCTCGCAACTCCGACCTCAGAAGCGCCTTGCTTCGCGTCGGCCCCGCCGTTTTCGCCCGAGACATCATCGCAGCTCTGGGGCCCGAGACACTCTCAGTTCAGGCGTCCCAGCCACTGTCGCCTGAGACGCTCGCGCACGTCTCACTTCGGAGGTGCCTTGCGCCGTGGTGGTTCGGCCACTTTCGCGCGCGACTTCTCGCAACTCTAAGTTCAAAGATGCCCCGAGCAGAGTTGTTCAGACCACTCCTCGATTGAAACATCCTCGCACGGCTGACTCCGGACATGCCCTCCCCTGAGCGGAGGCGTTCAGGCCATGTTCACCCGGGACGTCCTCGCAACAGTGACCTCGGCGACGCACTGTCCCATGGTAGTCTGACCACGTTTGCCTGGGACCCTCGCGCCTTTTTCGTGGCGCGATGATATGAGCAACTGGTCAGGCCGCGACCGCTTGATATACGCATGTGCACGCGCACACATAGTTACACTGACCATCGGCGTATACATGTACATACCCATACAAACGTATATATATATATATATACATATATATATGTATATATATATGTGTGTGTACATATGGACAATGCATTCATAGACGCACGTGCGTGCGCATGTACGAACGCTCGCACTCCGCTAGCGCGCGAATTCCAAAAGACCAAGGTGCATGGCGCGCAGCGCCAATGCAGTCTTGTGTGTATATATATAAATACATATATATATAAAAAAACGAAACAAAAAAAAATAAAAAATATATAAAAATATATATATTTTTTTTTTTTTTTTTTAAAAAAAAAAAAAAAAAAAAAAAAAAAAAAAAAAAAAAAAAAAAAAAAAAAAAAAAAAAAAAAAAAAAAAAAAAAAAAAAAAAAAAAAAACGTGTGTGCGTGTGTGTACGTATACCCCCGCGCACGAGGCCCGGGCGCCAGCCTCCCTGGAATAAGCCCGGGGGGGTCGAGTTTTTCTTTCTTAGAGAGGAGAAGATATGTGACTTCAGCTCGGCAGTGTGATTCGATGCAGTTGGAGCTACGTGGTGCAATATATGTGGCGTGAGGTATGCGGTGTAGGCAGCGGCGACGGACGAGGCGACGGCGGCGACGACGACAACAACCGCGGCGACCGACAGCCAAGCGCAGAAGCAGCGGCGACGGGCGGCGAAGGCGACAACAAGCGCGGCGACCGACAGCCAACCACAGAAACAACAGCGACGGACAACGGCGACGGGCGGCGACGACGACATCAAGCCAGCCAGACCGACAGCAAGGCCCAGTTCTTTGTAAGAGAACCAAGTACCTCTTAGTGCAAGCGCCGTTTGTGGAATGATGCCACTTGGGTCGTGGACATGACACCTCAAAAAGGCCTCTTGGAAGCCATCGGTCGGCTGCTTCGCAAGCTCTTCGAGGCATCTTGGGGGCATGTTGGAGACTTCAACGGGGGGTTCCTGGGGGGTGGGCCCCGGCCGTTGCATCGCCCCCTAGGGGGAAGCAGTCCGCAAGGCGGGCAGGGGTGCCAAGACTGCCCGAGCAGTTGTTCACTACAGTTCGGCGGCGAGTCCGGGAGGGGATCGAGAAGGGGCGGGCCCTCTCGGAAGGTTCCGATGCCCCCTGGCCCGCCGAGACGTGCTCAATCAAAGCCTTCCCCGAAAGTCGCAGAAGGCCTCAAGGCCGGAGGGTTTCTGAGAAACCCCGCCGCCTTTTGAGAAGACCTTTTCCTTCTCGCTTCCGCTCTCGCTCGCCGCCGAGCAATTCTTCCCCACATGTGCTGGGGGCGTCCCCTATCGTGCCGTTCTGGCGTGTTCTGGAACGGCCGCGTCTCCTGATACATCTTACAGAACCGCCATACCTCAGAGATCCCCGATTTGTCCTGGTCCGATGTTGTCATGTTCACGTCTTCGTCTTGTTCACGACGCACCAGCGACCTCCCTCGTGCGACACCCGTACGCCGTATTCTTCCCCGCCAGTGAGGCGGAGGCACCCTGCAAGAGTCTTGGCATCATGGCGCTCGCCGAGGAGGAGAAGGAGGAGGAGAGTCCTTCCTGCGTGGAGGGCCCCCCGCTTGGCTGTGCGCGAGCGTCCTTTCTGTTATGCAGGCTGGAGCCCTAGAGCCTTTCTCGAAGCTAGTTCTGCCGTCAATGTGGTCGGCCGCACTGTCCCTCGTGTCGAGCGAGAAAAAGCCGCGGCCTGCGCGGGGTTGCCTTGCGTGAGCACGGGTCGTGGCGCGCTCGAGGAATTTGCCGTGTAAACTCTGCTCTCTTCCAGGGTTCGTTTCGATTCGTTCGATTCGATTCGAGTTCGATGGCCTCCGACTCTAATTCGATTCGACTTGGGATTCCGATGTGGGAATCGATTTCTCAATGGAGGCCTACCAGCCGGCCGATCTCCGGCAATACGATTCATTTCGATCGCCGATGCGACTTCTCGATTCGATTCTGGGCGCTCCTGCTCTTCCCCTCCCCCACGGATGGAAAGGCGGAAGTTCGGGCCGTTTCCATGGAAGCCAGCCCGCATCCCCCTTCTCATGCTGGGGGACGTCCTGGTCCTCCTGGTCTAGTCTTCTGTATCGTCCTCGCCCGATTCGTGGTCGCCTTCCTTCAACATGATCCCGAGCAGAAGTCGCGGCGTGGACGCGCGCATTTGGGTTGCACAATGCGTGGGATCGAGGCTCGTTGTGCTCCGTGGCGTGTTGGTTTAGTTTCGGAGCAGTCATGACAGGAAGGATCAACAGAGTTGTTTCGCAGTTCGAAGTGGCGCTCGCCTTGCTCAGCGAACGTGTGCAAGCATAGGAAGTCAGCAGAGTTGCAAGCAGTGCTTCCCAATGGAGGAAGCTGTGGGCGCCCTTGGCGTTGCGCGGTGCCCTCGCCTCGGTTTCGTCCAGGCGTTGCTCAGGCCCCCTGGTCTTCATCCTTGGGTTTCCCAGTCCTTCCTCGGCTCCCCGGTCTTGTTGCTTGCCTCCACGTTCTCCGTATCTGCATTTGGGGTTTTTGTTGGTATTGTGACGCCTCCGCCTTCTCCCCACATCCTCGCCTCCACTCCTCTTCGCTCCTCTCCACGACGTCGCCATCATGCTTAGTTCACTCATACTCAGACTCACTCACACTAAGACTCAGTCATACGCACACTCGCCCATTCTGAGACTCACTTATACCCATGCTTACTCATACACAGACTCACTGCCACTCTCAGACGAACTCACACTCAGACTCACTCACACTCAGAGTTCAGACTCACTCTGACTGAGACTCGCTCACACCGGCTAAGTCACATCCAGATGACTCACATTCGGAGTCATTCACACTTCAGACTTGCTCGCACTCAGACTCACTCACACTCAGACTCACTTACAGTCAGACACACTCAGACTGACCCATACGCAGACTCACTCCCATGCGGACTCACTCACACTCAGACTTGCTCATGGTGTAGGCCCGATCGCGGCTAGACTGTGGGGATATCCCAAGCGGTTTGCCTGTTTGGGTGCCCAGCATTGTCTGCTCGGTGCCCAGACTCGTTTGTTTTCAGAGCAGACTGTGACGTCTGAAGCGAGGCTCTGGTTTCGGCACCCCAACTGGGACGTTCGCGCTTATCCGAACACAAGCTCCGACTCACACGTACTCATACTCGACACTCAGGCTCGTTCATTTTCATATGCACATCGATTCATACTCATTCACTCCCACAGGCTCATACTCAGACTCAACACGTCGGCTCCCCCATACTCAGATACACTCAGACTCAGATAGGCTCAGACTCAGACTCACTTCCCGCACTCAGGCTCATACGCACCCTGAGTCACCAACACGCAGATTCACTCACACAGACCACTCACACCCAGGCTCGCCTCACAGTCGATGTGCGAGGATGTCCCTAGCAAGGCGCTGGTTTCAGCATACCAGGGGGTGGCGCCAGGTGGTGTTGCACGGGCCCGTTCGCGGCTAGACGGTGGGGATGCCTCAGGCGGTTTGCTTGCGTCGTGGTTTGGCCATTTCTATTTTCAGAGCAGGTCGGGAGGATGTCATGAGCGAGGCGCTGGTGGCAGGAGCCTTTTTCTTTATTGTTTGGGCCATAACGCGCGTTATACCCCGCGCATAACGTACCGCTCTGGCCCCCAATGCGCCCCCGGCACTGCCGCCGTGCGCATAGTGATCCGCATATGAACCCGAATAGGGATCCGCATAGGCATTCGCAGAGGGATCCGCATGGGGATCTCATAGTGATATCCATCGGGATCCGCATAGGGATCCGCATTGGGAGTCCCAGGGATCATTATAGAGATTCGCATAGGGATCCGCATAGGAATCCGCATAGGGATCCGCGTGGGGATCCGCATAGGGATACCCAGAGGCATCCGCATAGGGATCCGCATAGGGATCCGCATGGCAATTCGCGTAGGCATCCGCACAAGGATCCGCATAGGGATCCGCATAGGAATCCGCACAGGGATCCGCATAGGGATGCGCACAGGGATCCCCAGGGGTTCTCATAGGGATCCGCATCGAGATCCGAAAAGGGCCGGTGGTCGCGGGCAAGTTGCGGTGCTCTCAGGCATTTGTGGTGATCGCAAGAGAGAGCAATAGGAGGAGGAGGAGGACGACGACGACGACAACGACGAGGATGGAGGAGGGAGGTAAGGCGAATACCTCTCATACGCCAGGTCGAGGCAACGACGCCTTCGCAGGCATGTGCTCGACACAACTCCTCGTCGCTCTTCGTTGTCGGTCGTCGTCGCCGTCGTCATCGTCGTCGCTCGTCGTCGTCGTCGTCGTCGCTCTTAGTTGTCGGTCGTTGTCGTCGTCGTCATCATCGTCGTCGATCCTTGTCGTCGTCGTCGTCGTGTCGTCGTCGTCGTCCGCCATCATCGTCGTCGTCGTTGTCATCATCTTCGTCGTCGTCTGTCGTCATCGCTCGCGGTCGCTCGTCGTTGTCAAGCGCCCTCGAGTGCTTTCGAGAGCCTCGGGAGGCCTTCGGGGGATCTCCGGAAGGCGCCTGGAGGCTTCTCGTGGCCTCAGGAGGCCTCCGAAGTCCTCGGGAGACCTCTGGAGCCGTCGCTCGTCGCTCGTCGTCGTCGCTCGTGCTCGTCGTCGTCGTCGTCGCTCGTCGTCGTCGCTCGTCGTCGTCGTCGTTCGTCGCTCGTCGCTCGTCGCTCGTCGTCGTCGTCGTTCGTCGCTCGTCGCTCGTCGCTCGTCGTCGTCGTCGTTGTCGTCGTCGCTCGCTGTCGCCGTCGTCGCCGACGTCGCCTGTCGTCGTCGTTCGTCGTCGTCGTCTTGGTCGCTTGTCGTCGTCGTCGTCGCTCGTCGTCGTCGTGCGCGCGGACGCTTTGGTGGCGCCGGAACTTCACGGCGGGGGGGGGCGTTGCGTTAGGCCCCTCCCCCTCGCCCCGAATCCCGCCACGAAGCCCGCCATCGCCGCGAGTAGCGAAGCGCGCTCCAGCACCACAGAGTGCTTGGCATCGCTTGGACGTGTGCATTCTTCCATCGGCGAGGACCATCGAGGAGCATCCTAGAGCAGTTGGCGGAGAAGCCACGCAGGAAACCGGAAGAAACACAGGGAATGGACGTCCGGGCGATGGCCAGATGGGGGGTGGGGATGCCTCCAGCGGTTCGCCCGTTCGGTGGCTTGGATTGCCGCGCTTTCCGAGCAGACGGTGCGGATAGCTCGAGCGAGGAGTTTTTTGTTCCGGCCCCCCCCCCCGGGGGGAGCCGCCACGGGGCGTGGCGTGCCTCCGTGCGCGGCCAGCCTGCGGGCATACCTCGCGCGCGTCGCTCTGTGCGCGGCCAGCACTCGCTTGCCTTCAGGGCATTATGTGAAGGATGTCTCGAGAGAGGTGTTTCGCAGGCCTAGAGGTTGACACCAACACCAGGATCGGCGGTGTGCCTCCACCGAGGGAAGAAGATCCCGATCTCGGCGATGGTGGTAATATTCTGGCTTCCAAGGTGGCCGAAATATTACCACCAACACCGAAATCTAGGATCATCTTCCCCCTGTGGAGGCACCCCCCTGTGTTGGTGTTGGTGCCAATGTCCAGGCCCCCAAGTGTTGGCTTCAGTACCCCATAAGGGGGGGCGCCAGGGTGTTGCACGGGTCCGGTCGCGGCCAGGTTGTGGGGATGTCTCCGGCGGTTTGCCTATTCGGTGATTTGGGCTTCACTGCTTCCATACCAGATTGTGGGGACGTTTCGAGCGAGGCGCTGGTTTTAGGAACCCCAGTGAAGGAGGGGGGTTGCACGGCCCCATTCGCGGCCAAATTGTGGGGATGTTTGGAGCGGTTTGCTTGCTTCGTGATTGGAACGCGCCTGCTTTCAGAGCCCATCGTGAGGATGTCCCGGGCGAGGCGCTTGTTTTAGCACGCTGGGGGGGGCACCAGGAGGTGTTACATTCGCGCGTTCGAGGCCAGATTATTGGAACGTCTCCGGCGGTTTGCTCGCTTCGTGGTTGTGACCTCCTTGCGTTCAAGGCAGATCGTGAGGATGCCTCGAGCGAGTCAGACGCAACCGCAGGCTTGGGCACCCGAGAGCATCCCGCTGCAGCAGGCAGATCAATTGGGCACTCCACGGGGGAGCAGCCAGGGACCGTTCAGTCGCCACATGCTGCGATTCCTTCACTCAGACGCGCCAGTAAGCGCCAGGAATCGAGATGCACATATGGAGATTCCCGCCTCGAATCATTCAGGTTCCTTGATGTTGTTCCCCTGGTGCCCCTGCTTTTTTGTTGGGGGGTTCCCCCGTCGTTGCACTGCCAAGCAGTGCCGGGCATTGCCGAGCAATGCCAATCAAAACCGAGCAAAGCAAGGCAACGACAAGAAAACGCCAGCAATGCCAAGTGATGCCAGAGGCAGAGCGAGCCAGTGCCAAGCCATGCTCGCTGTGACGCGCTGGGGTCTGAGGTTCCCCGGCCCTGTTGCTTGGTCATCTCTCTGTCTTGCTCACGGGTGTCTAGGCCTCTTAGATGGGGTCCGAGTAGATGGGGTCGGGGGATCGCGCCGCACCGCCGATGCGTCTCGATGTGGAGCCCGATTTGCTTCACGGCGACGTCGCCGATGCATCGCCCACGTCGACGATGCATCGCTGGTGCATCGCCGATGCATCGCCCATGCATCGCCGATGTGTC